GAAACAAATGGACTTGGTGGACATATACAGAGTGTTCCACACAAACACAGCTGAATACACATTTTTCTCAGCTGCACATGGGTCGTTTTCTAAAATAGACCACATACGGGTCCATAGGTCATGCTTAAGTATATGTAAGAAAACAGAAATTATCCCATGCACTTTATCTGACCACAGTACAATGAAATTGGAAATCAACAGTCAATGAAATATGTAGGTAACTAAAAACCTACCAACAAACAGAAGTCCAGGTCTTGATGGATTCACAGCTGAATCCTACAAGAAATTCACAGAAGATGTAGTCCCTGTACTCCTCAAACTCTTCCGTGAAATTGAAATGAAAGCAATTCTCCCAAAACCTTCCGGAAGGCAAGTATTATACTGATATCAAAACCAGGGAAAGATGCAACTAAGAAAGAGAATTACAAGACAATGTCCTGCATGTACATAGATGCCAAAATCCTCAGTAAAATCCTAGCAAATAGAATGCAACATATCATCAAGAAGATCATACACCATGACCCAGTAGGATTCATCCCAGGGATGCAAGGATGTTCAATAATCAAAAATCTACAAATGTAATACACTATATCAATACAGCGAAAACTAAAAACCACATGATCATCTCCATTGATGCGGAAAAGGCTTTTGACCAATTCCAACACTCATTCTTGTTCAAAGTCCTACAGAAAATTGGAATAGATGGCCTCTACTTCAACCTGGTAAAAGCCATTTGTGAAAATCCAACAGCTAACATAATTTTAAATGGGGAAAAACTGAAATCTTTTACTCTTAGATCTGGTACAAGACAAGGATGTCCTCTATCACCACTCCTATTCAATATAGTTCTGGAATCATTAGATACAGCCACTATACAAGAGAAAGAAATAAATGAATAAGAATAGTTAAAGAAGGAAGTTAAATTATCATTATTTGCAGATGACATGATACTTTAATTGGAAGACCCAAAAAACTCCACCAAGAAACTACAAGAATTAATACAGAAATTCCATAGCATAGCAGGTTAGAAAGTCAATACCCAAAAGTCAATAGCATTCCTCTACACAGGCAACAAACACATTGAGGGAAATTATAGAAACAATACCTTTTACAATAGCACAGAGGAAAATTAAATACCTTGGAATTAATCTAACTGAAGAAGTCAAAGAACTTTTCAAGGAAAATTACAGTACTCTGAAAAAAGAGATCGTAGAGGATTTCAGAAAATGGAAGATACCCCACAAAGGTAGAGAAATCATTCCTGAAATTTATCTGGAACCAGAAAAGACCTAGAACAGCAAAGGCAATCCTGGGCAATAAAGACAAGGCAGGTGGCATTACAATTCCTGACTTGAAATTATAATACAAGGCTACTGTGATAAAATCAGCATGGTACTGGCAACAAAATAGACCTGAGGATCAATGGAATAGAATAGAAGATGCTGAAGCCCCTGTCAACACACTCAGCCACCTTATCTTTGACAAAGGGGCCAAACATACTCACTGGAAGAAAGATAGCCTCTTTAACAAATGGTGCTTGAAAAACTGGCTCTCTACATACCAAAAACTAAAACTTGACCCAGGTCTATCACCATGTACTAAGCTAAAGTAAAAATGGATTAAAAATCTAAACATTAAAGCAGAGACACTAAATATCCTGGAACAGAAAGTAGGAGAAACTCTTTGAGACATAGTGGTAGGCAAAGACTTCATGAACAGAAATCAAATCGCACAGGAAACATTTGAAAGAATTAACAACTGGGACCTGCTCTTACTGAGAAGTTTTTTCACGTCAAAAGAAATTATCAACAAAGTGAAAAGGCAACCCACAAATTTGGAAAAAATCTTGACAAATAAGTACTCAGACAAATGTCTGCTCTCTATAATTTATGAAGAAATAAAAAGCACTAGGTCCCCAAAATTTAAGGACCCAATCCAGAAATGGGCATCCACGATGAACACATCCTTCTCAGAGGAAGAAATTAAAAAGCGAATAAATATATGAAAAAATGCTCCACATCACCAGCCATCCATGAAATGCAAATTAAAACAACATTGAGATATCATCTCACCCCAGAAAGAATGACTATCATAAAGAAATCACCCAACAACAAATGTTGGAGAGGCTGTGGGGAAATTGGAACCCTTCTGCACTGCTGGTGGGCTTGTAGACTGATGCAACCGTTATGGACATCGGTGTGGAGACTCCTTAGTAAAGTTGGACTGGAAATCCCATTTAAACCAGCTATTCCTCTACTGGGAATTTTTCCAGAGGATCTGAAAACATCATATCATAGTGATATAAGTGTGTCTATGTTTATAGCAGCACAATTTGTGATAGCCAAATCTTGGAAACAACCAAAATGCCTATCACCTGAGGAATGGTTGAAAAAAATGTGGTACTTGTACACAACGGAGTATTATTCAGCTATTAAGAATGATAAACTCAAAGCCTTTATATTGAAGTGGATGCCACTTGAACATATACTCATAAGTGACATAAACCAGACACACATGTGTAAATATCATATAGTTTCCCTAGTATAAGAACTCAAAAAAAAGAAATATAAATAGAAAGGTATAATACAAGTAAAAGGAAAGCAGGATCTCAAGGACTAACTAATCAAGAGAAGGAAAGGAGAAGAGCTAGGAAACATGAATATGTCAAGCCATACAGTTATATGTAGTAGATGGGCAAGGCAATGATCCTGAGAATCTTCAGAAGACTTTTCATCTAGCAGTTAATTGGAAAGATTCTCATTCTGACTAACTATATATACTCATACCTGTGAATTAAGCTACTGCACTGCAGATGGTAAACTTTAATAGTAGTTTCATGCTTGGAGTGCCTGTCATTCTGGTCTTCTGAATATGGGCTGCTTGTCATGACATGTCAGTTGTTGCTATGATGTCTCTTGGGTAGGTGGATGTTCAAAAAGAAGGGGGTGGTGAATGAAGGCAAGAGACAGCAAAAGGAATATTGTCAGATTGTCCTGCTTCAAGTTTGTATATGGTTAGATTTTTGGACTTATGTGTAAACATAAGAAGCATATAATTCTTTCTGCCTATTTTTAAAATATATTCTAATTTTTAAATGTTTTTTATCACTCTTTTAGAATATTTTGCTGAGTTTACACACCTATAATATTCAAATAATGGAACTTAGCAATAAAAGGGTATACAGATGAACGTCCATTTTCTATCTGAGTATTCATGGTGGTTAGGTTAGATATATAGCTACATTCTCTTATTGACTAGAGGGATTTGTTCTAATGGTGTTTGCAAACAGGATATCATGTCCGCATCTTGTACAGCAATTAACCACTAGGAAGAATGTATGCAATGTGTTAAGTATTGAAACTGTCCTACCAATTTGGTTTAAAACTGTCTCATTGCTCTTTGTTTCTTAATACAATTATGGAAAAAACCCAAAATAGGATAGATATAGAGCTGCATTCTCTTAATTCAATGAATAGAGAATTTGTCATGGAAGAATAAATAATAGTGTCAAATAGTGTCTCTGGACAGAATACAATGTCTGCATCTTATACAATGAATAACTACTAATATTCAATGTGTTAATTATTGAAACTGTGCTAATAATAGTTTTTGAAACTTTGTCCTTGCTATTTGTTACTTAATAAAATGACTTAAAAAATTGTTACTTCTATTCTAGTACCTTTGTATTTCTATGTAAATTTTGAATCAGAAAGTTGATTTTTATAAAAATTCCGGCAGATATTTTGAATAAAATTGAATTCAATCTGTAGTGTAAAAAAAATTTATTCCCTTCTACAACACAACTGTCACACAGGTTTGTCTAATCACACACAAATACAGATATATATATATATAAGCAAATTAAATGTGACAAAAAATGTAATAAACGTGAAGTATAGTTTATTTAGTACTACATGTGTCTATAGAAAAATTGTGTCCAATTTGATTATACTTCATATAGTTATAAAAAAATTACAGAAATTTTTTTTTTAAAACTATCCCATAGACACTGAGGAATTAAAAATCCATGGCCAGTTTTATATTTTTATAGGTTAGTATATTGTTGATGTTTTTAAGATAGTTAAAAATTTATCATGTGAAAAAACTTGATGTAATGACAGTAAAACCAGAAATTCTAAGCAACAGGCTAATATATTGTGGGAATTCTTCATTAGAAGCCATAGGACCAGTATCTTCTACAGCACAGAGGGCGGCAACAGCCATAGTCACAGCCACCATAGCCACCATAGCCACCATAGCCACCATAGCCATAGCCAGAGCCGTAGCCACAGCCTAGACCACCATAGCCATAGCCCAGGCCTCCATAACAGCTGCTGTAGTAGCACATGGTGTCAGGAGTGGACTGCTCAGTTCAGGATCAGGAAGTTGTTATCTGAAGTAGGAATCTGTCAGTCTGGAGCCTTTTATACCTCCATAGTGGTGGATGGGGAAACCACAGAAAATGCACCATCACATGCTTTGTGCAATGCCATCAAGATTATACTCATTAAATGCTGGCCCTTCCCCCCAGGGCATGCTGGGAAGGCAACAGAGACTGGGTGTGGTGATGCATGCCTGTAATCCCAGTACTTGGGAGGCTATAAACAGGTGGATCACTAGGAGTCTGATCTAGTAGTGAGACCCTGTACACCCTGTAGACCCTTCCCTAAAATATAAAAAAA